GAGAATTAAAACTCGAAATAAAATATTATAGTTATTATTAACCCCTGCATATATTCATAGTAAGTTGCATTAAAAATATATTATAGGTACCTTTTTAATGTAAATTAATCTGACTATTTCATACGGAATAATCATCGTACGTATATAAGTATGAGAATCTTCTAACTAAATAAATGGTATTATTATTATAAATTAGTAAAAAGATTGGTTACTAAATAATATAACATGTAGTGTACTTGGTCCTAGTGCATGTAACAATAAACCAACTGCGGTACGAGAGCAAGCGGACGGACGTGTCCGGAATCATAATGTGACGTTTACATAAGATGGCTGCCACGGTACGCGTCGCGATTTTTTCCCGCCTCGAACAGCTACTTAACCTGGTAACGCGCTAACTGCTTGTAACATACATTAATTAATTAGTATTTTTTTATTTATTTAATTTAAAACAACAGTTTTCCGAATATTATATATTATTAACTACTTAAAAAAATAAAGTATGTTATTGAACAAAATTTTTATTTAAATACCTTTTTTTCTGGAAATGGGCGCGAAACTTCATTTTTATTAATTAATGCAGTTGTTGGCAGTCAAATGTATTACTGTTATAATTTCACAGGTTTAAATGAATTATTAAAGTCTTTTATCTCAAAAATAAAAGACGAAATCGCTAATGACGGTTAATAAATAAATAAAATATCTAACATACCTCAACAAAACAACTTCAAATTAATCAATTAATGGCCGACATTAGTGTGAAAAAAAGACTATTCTCATCGTGATATTCACATTTATGAATCCAAGTCCTTGTTAAGTCTTATTTACATGACGTGCCGTGACAGGTCGATTGAGAGGACGCTCAATTAAATCCGTTACAATAACGTTTCTATTAATTAAACGAAAGTAATTTGATACAAATTGTTAATAGGACTCTTCTGATCTCTTATTAAGATAAATCATTTATATTCTTTCATGTACAAACATTAATTCGTGTCGATACAACGTGTAATTGACATATAAATATTATGTTATTATTGATGATCAAGTAATTTTGATTAACTCTCACAATTATATTGAGAAAGCTCTATTATTTCTCTTCTTTAATATAATACTTAAAATATTATTAAGACATATTGAATTATGCTATTGTGTTTGTGTTGGGTTAGATTTAGCATACCTACATCACTTATTGAATTTGATTTACTTATAATATCATATTATAAATGCGAAATCTGTTTATTTATTAACTTTTATACTATTAATGATTGAACGGATTTTAATGAAATTATACACGAAGATAGATCTAACAACGACGGATATTTATCTAAAAAAATCTTGTATATATCATTCCGTATTTAATTATTGAAAATAATATTCATTAATTTTATATATACATATTTAATACGTAATTCTTTTAAATTCAGCATGTGTTAACCTGTTAGCCCATCGTAAATGAACTGTAAATCCACGCCAACAAAGGTGACCGTGTCAACGGAGATGTTCCCAATGATCGGGACGCTTGACTCGGCGCTAAGTGGGCCACTGTCGCATGTCGGGACAATGATGCCGAGTAGCTCGAGTACGGCGCTAGTGTGTAAGCCTCTTTACGTATTGTTTACCTCAAACTATTGTCACCTTTTTTGTAACCTTTTTTTAATGTATCGCTTTAGGATGTTGTAGGATAGCGCATAATGCTAAAAGAAGATTATAGTTTAATGTATTTCATGAAAATTTGGTAGATGTTGGTATTATAATAACTATAGTAAAAATGTATAAATTGTATTTTAAGTTTGATATATTATTGATATGAGTCCCTTAGTGATGTATGTATGTAAATAACGTAAATGTAATAATTTTATTTATTATAGGTACTTTATATTTTTGTCATATATTTGGTAGGAATAATTAGATATTAATCTTACATTTTATTTAATTCATAATTATACCGTCCTTTTTTTGAGGTAGTGTAATTTAAAATTGCATTTTGTATATTTATTATGGAATAGTAACAACTGTAATTATTTTGCAAACCATTTTTTAAATAATAATTTTATAAGCCAATTACTACTAGGTATTTACAATTTTGTACGGGACGGACATATAAGATGGACACCATGTAAAATTATTATTTTATATTGAAAATAATTTTTTTTTTATTAAAATAATAAACATCAATAATATCTAGATAATGTATGTATACAAGAGTATTGCGACGCACCTTAAGTATACCCTAATATTATATACATTTTTAATAAACGATGTGAGTGCCATATTTACTACAAATATTTTTAACAAAATAGCTTTAAGCATTAGGTATAACAATGTGTTATTGTTTGTTAACCTAAATATATAAAAAAACAATAGATATAAACCGTAGAAACCTGACAATTGTATTAAAAAGGAAATATGAGTAGGTGACTGTTTTATTCGATTGTTTGTACAGTTGCAATGTCAGAGTGTAGTGCATGAAATTGTTTCCGAATCGTATTATAATGTTACGCCAAGACAACACAACTTTCTATATTCACACTACGGAATTGAACACGTTACCTCTCATTTCCGCACCATAACAATGGTTGACGAGCGGCTATGTATTGCAGTTTATTTATCTTACACTCTACATAATTGAGGAAACGTTTAACTCTCATTATAGTTCCCTTTCTTAGTATTGTTAAAATTGCATTACTACCGACTCATTTCTTGTTAGAATAATATTGCTGATATTATAGAACAGAATAGAAATTAAGTAGAATTCTCTTGTAGTTGCTGTATATATCTGAAAAATGTATAAGAGGTCTAAAAGATACAATTTTTCGCCACCTATGTGGTATAAAAAAACTATGTTTAAATAAGATTCTTAAGTACTTATCATAGTTGCCTCAGTAGTAAATGAGATTCTCGTGTATGCATGGAGACATAATCTAGGTATCGATAGAATTTTTCCATTATTAGTCTCTTGGAAGTTTGCTTGACAATATATATATATATTAACTTGTCCATATTATCTGAAGCGGGATTAGATAGAAGCAGATGATGATGATGATTATCTGAAGCTCTATCTGCCCTATCTGCTTTTTTAATGTCTATGGAATGTATGCTGTATACCCACTCAGGCGGGGTACCATAGGAGGAAATTAGGAATGAGCAAGTCAAGTCAGTTAGACAATGGTGGCGAATTCACTAGGAATTAACAACGATTTTGCCGTACCAGAGGGGAAGGTGTAGAAGTCAAGTGCTAAACCAATGAAGTCAACGGTGTGCTATCATTCTTTATGTGCAAATTAAACTCACTTTTACAATTTATACGTAACCGTAGTATCTATCATGTAGGCTTCTACAAATCAGCTCGTAATCAGGCTGCATTCGTCCCGTGACGTTGTAAAGGCTAGCTACGACCAACAGCATTAGAATAATATGAAAAAAACTCAGGCTGCCGACCCAATTTGTTGTACTTACCTACTAGTAGATGTTCCACCGAAATCTCGGCAGCCGCTCCGTCCTCAGGTTTCACCGATTGTCTCGCAGTATTGTCTATCGTTCGCGAAATTTGATTTGATTTGTCCCTATTCGATTTTTACAAGCTTTTATTTTTTGTTTTCCGCTTTCAATGGCTATTCACTAAGATGTATTGTTGGTTTATTTGCTTTACTAATAGAATACGACGTCTGTTTTTAGGTTTTTATGTAGTCGCTTTTTTTTATAAAAAGTGTGTAAAAATATAATAAATCATCGTACAAAGTTCTCTGTGTCATCAACTTCTGTCGTGTTGCAGGTCATATCACATTCGATAGTGGGTCCTCTATTTGTTTGGCATTTTACATTCATATAAACAATATTGTATTAATAGATCTATTTATTTTAAAGGATTATCATGAGCTCTTATTAGTATTTAATATAGCTTCTTAAATATTAAAGGTTTCACAATTTCTAAGTAACAATTCTGAATAACGATATTACCCGAATGTACCGCTCGTTTCACACAACCGGATAGATCCTCTCTTTAGTTACAGCGGATAAGGCTTTTGTAAACCTTGACGGTTAATTTTAAAATTTAATTAACTAGTACTTTTTCTTTAAATATAAAATCTTGTCATAAGTTTCTACTGTGCCTATATTTACTTTTAGAAACTTTAAGAAAATTGTATTATTAGATAACAAACTGTGCAATAAAAAATTATAAGCATAGCCTTACTTGACGACCTATAGTATATTCTCTCCAGATGCTAAATATTCGTTGATAAATTATTTTAACTAATTACTACTTATAAATTTGAGATTTTATTTAGGTAATGAAATAATAATTCTTACAAAAATAAAATAACAATAAAATACAACATAAAAACGACAAAAGAAAAAAATAATATGGATTATTACTTATTCAAACCCATTCATTAACATCTAATATAATTAATTTACTGCATGTTTCATGTACCCAATTGTAATGGCAAGCAAGCGGCCCGCCTTATAGTAAGTGGCAATCATTGCCTACATAAGGTATTCAGCAGAACCGTGGACATCATCACATGATGCCTGTATATGCGGTAACACATATGGAGTACATCTATCGCTGATTAAATGTCAAAGGGCCACAACGCAAAAAAAAACTGAAACTATTTTACTTTGAATCTGATACCATTTTTGAAAAAAAAGCGATATGTTAACCTTCTGAAGGACTAACATCCTACACCTCCATACTCTATAACTCTACTACCATATCTCATACTTCGACCGAAACAAACTTATAAAGCAACTTAATGTGCAGTCACAGTACAAGTGAGTATACTGCAGAGGACTTTCTGCAAAATCTACTTCTCGAAAAGCTGTTTATTACCATCTAATATAAAGAGTAGCTTCAAATCGGGCATTGTGCGGAATGCCTTACGTCGGTCCCGACGAGGGCAGCTTAAATCACGCCAAGCAGCGAGCAGTTTTAAATTGGAATTCCTGTAGGAAACGTACTTAATTGTTGTCGCTTAATTAATGTAATTCTTTGTCCACAGGATTCCCACAAATCAAGTCACCCTACAGTCCCACCTCACAGCCGCATCTCACAGGTCAGTTGTTATACAATTATGAGTTTTACAAAATACCAGACAATCAAGAAATGTTTTATTCGTTTGTTTTCAGAGATCATCTTGAAACTATATACCTAATAATAATAACTCAAATTACCACAGCGTCATCTAGTCCTTAGTACAGATTTTATTATGGGTACTAGACAACTGGTATAAATAAATACTTTTTTTTAAATACATATTTTATATAGAAAACACCCAGACCGATACAAACAAACATACTTAGAAATACAAAATGATTGTATCGTGCGAAGAATCGAATCCGCGACCATTGATATAAGGCAGTGTGCTAAACCACTAGACAACCTCAAAACTATGAAATATATATACGTAGAAAAAATGTTTTCGAGAAAGATCCTATATATATGCAAGCGTTAGCTTATAAAGTAGTATACCTAACTATTGAACGTACGTCGAAGTGCATATACTAGTTTGCAGAACATTTGCGAGTGATTTAGGAAAGTGGCTAGAAGGTGGATGTGGGAATCACGCGGGGAGATATCCCTCGTGTGGCGCCATCCCCCCTCCACTCTAGTTGCACCCCGCTTCACTCACCCCCCGCTTTGTTTCAGTAATGAATCCGCCAAACACCAAACGTCACCGCGCAGCCGCTCGACCTAACCAAAACCATAAATCATATAGGTAACGGTCTATTAGCTATCGAAAGTTGAACCCTCTATCTACATAACTTCGGTCCAAAGCTGTCTGCCAACCATCCGACATGAAACCTTCTAAAGGAACCGTCAAAATTTTGCTTAGGTCGTAAGGTTTTAGAAAATATTCTGCTAAATGCAAATTATAGAGGTCGAGACAAACACTATGTAACTGGGTACTGTGTTTATAATTACGTCACTAACACCTGTGTTCTGATGTAGATGGCGATAGCCAAACATGGTTGTTGTAGTTATGTCTCTCAAGTCTGATGAAAGTGGCTTACACTGTTGTAGTGGCATGCCCTAATATGTGTTTTACAACCCTAGCAGGCTATGAAAAGCGCTCCGCAGAAAACAAACCACCTGACTGACTCCCCGCCCGGCAGCCATTTGTAAAAATTACCTTCGCCGCCATTTCTACGCGGGAATTCCATATTTGAAACGCCGCAGGGAGGAATTCGTGAGCAGATTTGACATTTCGCCATCATGGCCGCGCTGTTTTATTGTTTCTAAAACAATGACGTTAACTGCGATGGCCGTTTACAAAGCATTGTTTAGGCGCCGCCATTTTTAATTTGAAAATTGGGGTGATTGTGATATTTACGCAGAATGGTGAATTTTAACCACAATGGTATATGACTTCATTGGTCGTGACGCTATACAATGACTCAATGATTACTTAGACCAGGTAACTATATCAGTGGGAGAAATAACAAAATTGTAATGGTCTACATCTATCATATCAGATTTCTACTATCGACTTCTGAATGCATTCGCCTTTAGCATCTATCTAGTCGTCTGCACTTCCAGATTTCACTTTACTTGTCCATTGACATCATTGGCCGAAAACCTTTTGACCGTGTCGATTTTCTTTAATTTGTGTCTTCAATACTCTAGTAAGTAGACGGTATATTATGGTCTAATACTAAATCGGGAACTAGATTATCTGCTAATATCCTCATTTTAAATTTTATCTGGAATATCCACATTTTTGACACTTAAAATGTTGCCAAAAAGAATGTATTTAAACTATTTAATGAAGTTCTTGTTAAAACATTATTCTAATATCTAAAATAGATACACTCCATTAGAGATTTTTTTTATTATGATTTTTTTTATTTACACTAAAAACATCATCAGTTTTTACTTACAAGTATTTCCACCTAGCGAGTGTGTATGAAATCAATTTTGACAGGCGACAAGAAGTTATTAACTTGCCGCCATTGAACAACCTTCTCGATTTCAACAAACATTTGTAGTGAAACTACGTTTTCCGACTGTTACACGTTTAAAATCGTCTGTTTTACCGCCTCGTCAAAGTAGTATCCTGCATAACTCCTATTACAAGCTAATACAGTGTATATTAGTGTGACCGGTAACGCTTGTGATTCGGATCATATGACACACAAGTTAAGTGGCGACAGCTTGTAACAACAAGCAGTAACTATATTATTATTAATTTTGCGGTCGCTCATTTGTGACAGTGTCGTATTTCGGCTGTTCCTTTAGTGTCAAATAACGGCTACTGTTCTTAATCTAATTACTCAAATATATGGTTAGCAATATAGATTATGGGTACCTATATCTAATCCAATGCGGAAGTATGTACTCTGGTTCTAAGATCGAGATGATTGATTATATATATAGTAAGTATAGATATTCTAAAGTGCTGTGCATGTATGAAATAATTTCATGCGAATACCTCTCTAAATTTAACTATTCCATTGGGTAGATCTATGTACGAGTACATAGATCTAAAACTCTATACTATTGTCTACCTAACATATCTTTAATTCTACCAGATGACAGCTAATAGTTGTCCAAGTTTCTTGATTGCGTATTTAATTCATTGCATATTTTCACATCTGTGTCTGTTGTTAAGGATATACAGTATGAAGTGAATAACAGGTTTAGTAAGCCTAATATCTATGTAGTCTTTGTTAAAAAGTATATGATACATGGGATGTACCACGCAGTGTCTGACACTGTCTGATGCCGAGTGTTGCCCCTGCTTTTATATCAACAATTTCTTTTAATTCAACTTGTCATGTTCATGACCAAAGACCGTGATCATTGTTAGAGCGTACAGCTGCTACAGCTCTTCAGGGCGATTCTTGACGCAATGGATGTTGCCTGAGATATCACAAGAGTTTCCGTGTCTCTTCATTGCATAACGAGAGCCCCCATCTCCTATTCAATAGATATACCTAATACCTACCATTCTTTAAATTAGGTACCTTGTAGGATATTAGACACATTATATTAGTTCGAAATACGAGCTGTCACTTCGAACATGCGAACTGATGAACGCGTAACAAATGTAGCGAGTGTTGTGTAAACACGCCACTAATTGTGGGAGTGTCAGGTTACCAACGCGTGGTATTGCAGTATCCAGGGTTGCAACAGTATTAGGATCTTCCGATAGTTAGTATTTTTGGTATTCATTATGAGGTACCATCGTCAGCATGATCCTTATTTCACCGAGATTAATAGACATTACAAAATGTTTATTTTTCTTCGGACTACTGTAATACTGTTGGCCACAGCTGGCCTTTACATTTTCACCGGCTCCTTAGTTACCATCTCAATCATTTCTTTTGCCAAGTGGGAGGCCTGTTTCTAGGTGTTGGTTAGCACTTTTCATGAAATGGATCGCCAGTTCATTAACCATTCTAGTGACAAAAAAAACCTTGTACAATGTAAGAGATTTTTATTTATCCAACGCTTATTCATAAATGTTCGCAGTAGTCATAATTTTGTATTACAATTTAACTTAAGAAGAAAGTAATCCATTAAAATAAATTAGATTCAATGAAATATAAAAAAAGAGTTTTAAGATTCTAACCCTGATAGTGTAGCAATTCTATGCGACATTTTGAAAATTGGGATTGCTCAATTTGAACCTAGGTAAGTATATCTAGGTATACTACGGTAAATTATTGTAGGTACTCGTATTTCCTTAAAACAATGTTAAGGTTTAAGTTATTGAATGTAAGTATCTAATGGTTTAAAAATAATGCCTACAGTTATTTAAGTTTCTCCTATACTTTTTACAAAATAAGTACCAAATAAAGACAATGGTAGATAGATAGATAGAGTCGCTAATAAAACTGTTATTTATTCTTTTTTTAAATTCGTTTAGGTTTTCTCTTTATTTTACATATGTGCTTTCGTAACATTCATGGTGGAAAACTAAAATAACTTTTGAATAAGCATAAGTCAGAATTGATATTATAGACTATAACTCTGCTACATAATCAGAGAAAATAACTCTTAACATATCTCAGTAAATTCACATTAAACATAATACTAATGAAGAAAGTTTTATATGTCTATGTTCCGCAACACATTTTAAAATACCAATTTCACTTTCGTCACGACCAATTAATCGATAAAGGACATCTTGAAGGCTACATAATGAGCAGGCACTTACAGGACAGTAGCCATTATAATTGCTAATGCCTTCACTTCGCTTTGATATTTTGCAAATATACCTTTCAAACCAGTAAGGACTTCGTACCGAAGAGATAAGGTTTATATTCCCTCGTTTGTATCTAAGAAGAAATTAGTTGTTCTATCGGTACTTAATTCATTATACGATCAGTGGCCCAAGGTGGTGGGTGGAGCAGGAAGCCGCTCGGGTGAGGATAGGGGATGGGTGTTCTTGTTCTAATCGTAAAATATTATTGTTATGTCGCCAGTCGTAGGGGCATGGCTTCCCAATGGTTCTATATTTTGAATTATTCTCTTTAACCAACAACGTTATATAAAATATACCTAGTTTTCTTAAATAACATTATAAAAAGGAAAGATTCGATTTTATGTTTGAAACGGATGTTAAAAATAAATAATTTGACGTTATTTTAAATTACGTATAGAAGCTACATAATCAGTGAGTTGCTCGTTCTCCTTGTGATGAGACAGCTTTCCGAATGAACAGTAAATTAAAAAAAATATGATAACTTTTCAAAAGTACTTCAATGTAAGTTTATTTGAATAAATGATTTTCTATTCTTTTCTAGTTGGGATGACATGGATTTTTTTTTATTAAAAAAATAGAATAAATTAAATAGTACATTAATTTCAACATAATGAAAATAATAATTAATTAATAATAGAAAATCTTGTATTTTGAATTTTCTAAGGAATGGAAATAAACTCTCAGATAGATGTATTATATTTATGAGGAAAGAGCGGCTTTTCATATCTATAGAAAACGGTTGCTACAATCTATGAGGTAGGCCATCAGCCTGTTCCCATAAATTGATCGAATAACTTTAATGATTAATGTGTTTTTAATAGAAACTGGAGGAATAAAAAATCATT